TGTGGGTACTGCCTGCCCTACTAAAAGTAATGAGCACAACAGAATTATAACTAACACAGAACTATTATCCTCTGTTCCTGCAAGCAGCAAGGGCAACACTGCCTTCCTCAGAGCTTCCAGGTTCATTAGAGCCAGAAGCTATTTGTCAGTCAGTGATGCAGATAGGTTATGGGCTAACAGATGCACAGAAGGGTGGGGAACAGCACAGCACCCAGCTGCAGCAGCACAGAATCAAAATCAGGCCCTGGCTGAGACAGTACTCAGTAAAGTACAATAAAGCCTGCACTGTCTACTGAGTATTGCAAAAACTGAGCCCACTTCAGGGTGTGATGATTCCTTCGGGAGGCTGAAGTATCCAGGGCAGTTAATCTCTTATTTACCTATAAGATATGAGTTTGGACTGTGCTGGGGACAGCCTGTGCTAGCACAAATACAGTGAAAAGGAACCAAATTCAGAATGCAACAGGAGGCTCATGGCTGTACAGTGGTCAGAAACCACTCTGCAGTACCTAAAGCATGAGCAGGTCCTTCTGAAAGGTCTGACAACCTGCCACAGCTTGACCCAGCTGTGCTCTGCTGGATGTTTCCATCCAATGTCATGATCCTTTTCTGGAGAGGCCAGAGTTCAGAGGCTTGGGCAGAGTGCACTGCCCCTACTGCTAAATGTGTCCTACTGCCTCTTCATGTCACCCAGGCTGAAGGACAGGGCAAGGCTGGATTTTCCCCCTCTCCTCCATCTGTGTTGTGGCTCAGTAATCTCTAATTGCCCTCTGCTTTTGTCATGGCATTTAATGTTGATGACCTCAAGCCTAGAAAATGCTGCACATTTTAATTTGGTGTTACTACACCTGTGGAATGGCCTTTCTCTCTGCAGAACCTTGTAAAGACAGACTGAGATATGCTGATGTGAATTCTCAGAGCACTGCAGGCAGAAAGGTCAAAGCTGAGTCACACCAGTATATAAAATGGGTAATATCACAATTGTGGCAGATCACTTCATTCTCCTGCTCTCAACTGGGGCTAACAATGTATCAATTTCCTTAGGTTTCAGTTGCAGATATTGCTGTCTTCCCAAATTTCTGTACTCCATATGACAGGTTCTGAATACAGATGACAGAGCAGCACTGAGCCCAGCCAGAACCATGTGAGCTCCACTCCTCTATCTACCTGCCACAAGCCTTTGCTGGGGTTCCACTGCCATGCTGACTCTTGCAGCATCACTGCTAAATCCAGGCTGATGAGCTTGGTCAGACCTTGGCTGACTGTCCAGAGCCACTGTGGCAGCTCCTCTATCTGTGCTCTCGTGCATCCCTGTTCAGAACAGAAATACCACAAGTGACTGAGGTCCAGTGAAGGTGGCTGCCTTGTTCTCCATGTCACTTGCTGTGTGCTCTCTTCCCACCACCCTGTGCTGCTTGAGCCCAGCAGCTGCCCAAGGAGAATGGAAATGCAGCTATGCAGACTCAGGGAGTGACTTCTGCACTTGGCTTAAAAACCAGGCGCTGGAAATCCCAAAAACTGATTATTACACTGGAAACAGATTCTCACAGGGCAGGCTTTCTTCCCCCACAGCATTCATGCACGTGCTCTCACACAAATGAGAACTTTCCCGTCAGGGGCAGGAGCTCTCTTTTCAACAGCAGGACTTGCAGAACAGCTGTAGCTGCACACTGCTCAGGGTGCTGTAGGTACAGTCTGCACACTGCCTGCCAGCACAGCTCCTTTCCCCCAGGGTCAGAAGTGTCACCCAGTGTCACAGCTCTGCCTGCCCCCCAGCCTAAGGGGTGTGGGGAACCTGCCTGGGCTGCCAGCACTGAGCCATTATTGTGGATGGATGTGTCCCTAAACATCCTGTGATGTCTGTTGTGTTTCTGGCAGTCACCAAAGGATCAAAACTTTCACAGGAATTAGGATCATGATTCATTTCTAACTGGAGTTTCTTTTAAAATCCTAGCTTTCATTTATTCTCAGCTACAGTAACATTCATTTTCTCCATCTTTTTAATTTTTAAAATACATAGTTATAAAAAATTTATATTTAAATCATTCAGAACAGTAATTTCAAAAGAGCTATAAGAACAGAAACATTTCTATCATTGATGTCTAGTTAAAAAGATTTCTTTTTCCTCTGGGTTAGTTTACAATTAAAAAACAAGAAAAAGACTGTCCCTACAGGGACTGCTAAACTGATTTAACCAAAGCACAAATACAATTGCATGGACTTTGATTTCCTTAAAGTCAGTATTTCAGCAAATCTACAACAAAAATATTTCTACAATGCAATATATAATAATACATAGATACTGCTAAAGTGCTGCCTCAGATGGTGTTGATATATTTTTGCTATTATCAACTTAATGTGCAGCAAAATGCACTACTGCTTTAGTTATTAAAATATTTGGTTAGAATAAATGAATAAGATCACGTTTGATTCACTAAGTACTCAGATTATTTATTTTAATGATTTCTCTTTTTAATGAGCTGCAGTAAAAGCAGCTCTCCCTCCATCCATTTCTCCATCTCCAGAGCTGCTGTTGGCCCAGCTGTATCACCAAGGCTCACAGAAGGTGAGCATTACCTGTCTGTGTGAACAGCCCTGCCCAGGCTCAGAGGCACTGAAGGGAAGGCTGATCCCTCCCTTGGTCCCATCCAGCTGTGCAATAACCCTGGAAGCTGGTGATTCTGAGCACAGAGCTGCCCAGGGAAGGAGGATCCCTGCACTCCCAGAGCTTGGCTCAGAGGTGCCTTTCACCACTAAAACTCAGCAGCTTTACCTGCTGACTGACCTTAACCAGGCAGCTCTGTGCTTTCAAACAGAGCACCTCTAGTTTAGCCAGGTTATCTGATGAAACTGAAAATTAGCATTAAAAGGTTCTCCTTTTAGCAGAAAAAACACACCTGCTGTCTAATGTAAATTGTAGCTGAGATGAAGCTTCCAAAGGATGCTGAAGAAATTTTAATGAATACTTTGTGGGACTGTAAATGGACTGACTTTGGGCACAGCAGCGCTTTTGAGAACACCTGAAACTTACAGCCTTCATCTGCCTGCTAGAAATGACTCGTTCTGGTGGTTATCCATAGCCTGCCTACGAGGGAAACCCTGCAGGTGGGACAGGGCTGAAGGATGGAGTGCGACCGTGATGGGACAGGGCTGAAAGTTCCAGTGATCCACAGTGGGACAGGGCTGAAGGACGGAGTGTGACCCACAGTGGCACAGTGCTGAAGGCCACAGTGACACCCACAGTGGGACAGGGCTGAAGGACGGAGTGTGACCCACAGTGGGACAGGGCTGAAGGATGGAGTGTGACCGTGATGGGACAGGGCTGAAAGTTCCAGCGATCCACAGTGGGACAGGGCTGAAGGACGGAGTGTGACCCACAGTGGCACAGTGCTTAAGGATGGAGTGTGACCAAGGTGGCACAGTGCTGAAGGCCGCAGTGCCACCCACAGTGGCACAGTGCTGAAGGCCGCAGTGCCACCCACAGTGGGACAGGGCTGAAGGATGGAGTGTGACCAAGGTGGCACAGTGCTGAAGGCCGCAGTGCCACCCACAGTGGGACAGGGCTGAAGGATGGAGTGTGACTGAGGTGGCACAGGGCTGAAGGCTGCAGTGCCACCCACACAGTGACCCACAGTGGGACAGGGCTGAAGGCTGCAGTGACACCCACACAGTGACCCCCACACTGTCACAGTGCTGAAGGCCGCAGTGCCACCCACACTGTCACAGTGCTGAAGGCCGCAGTGATACCCACAGTGGCACAGTGCTGAAGGCCGCAGTGCCACCCACACTAGCACAGTGCTGAAGGCCGCAGTGCCACCCACAGTGGCACAGGGCTGAAGGCCGCAGTGATACCCACAGTGGCACAGTGCTGAAGGC